CACTCTCCATATACACTGTAACGCAATCCATGCTTCCCCCATACACTGTCCTATATACCATAACACACTCCATGCGTCTCCCATACACTCTCCTATACCCCATAACACACTCAATGCGTCCCCCATACACACTCCTATACCCCATAAATGCACTTCATGCATCCCCCATACACTCTCCTATATACCCTATAACGCACTCCATGCGTCCCCCATACACTCTCCTATACCCCATAACACAATCCATGCGTCCCCCCATACACTCTCCTATACCCCATAACGCATCCATGCGTCCCCCCCATACCATCTCCTATACCCCGTAACGCACTCCATGCGTCCCCCATACCATTCCTATACCCGTAATGCACTCCATGCGTCCCCCATACACTCTCCTATACCCCATAACACTCCATGCATCCCCATACCATCTCCTCTCTCCCCATATACAACTCCATGCGTCCCCTTACACACTCCTATATCCCATAGTACACTCCATGCGTCCCCCATACACTCTCCTACCCCGTAAGCACTCCATGCGTCCCCCATACACTCTCCTATATACATAACACACTCCATGAGTTCCCCCATACACTCTCCTATACCCCATAACACGTAACGCAATCCATGCGTCCCCCATACCATCTCCTATACCCCGTAACGCAATCCATGCGTCCCCCATACCATCTCCTATACCCGTAACGCAATCCATGCGTCCCCCATACCATCTCCTATACCCGTAACGCAATCCATGCGTCCCCCATACACTATACCCTCCTATCACCCTATACCCCGTAACGCAATCCATGCGTCCCCCATACCATCTCCTATACCCCCGTAACGCAATCCATGCGTCCCCCATACCATCTCCTATACCCGTAACGCAATCCATGCGTCCCCCATACCATCTCCTATACCCGTAACGCAATCCATGCGTCCCCCAAACCATCTCCTATACCCCGTAACGCAATCCATGCGTCCCCCATACACTCTCCTATACCCCGTAACGCAATCCATGCGTCCCCCCATACTATCTCCTATACCCCGTAACACACACTCCATACGATCCCCATACACTCTCATATACCCCGTAAAGCACTTAAGGCATCCCCCATACCATCTCCTATACCCGTAACGCAATCCATGCATCCCCCATACTATCTCCTATACCCGTAACGCAATCCATGCGTCCCCCATACTATCTCCTATACCCCGTAACGCAATCCATGCGTCCCCCATACTATCTCCTATACCCGTAACGCAATCCATGCGTCCCCCCATACCATCTCCTATACCCCGTAACGCAATCCATGCGTCCCCCATACTATCTCCTATACCCCGTAACGCAATCCATGCGTCCCCCATACTATCTCCTATACCCCATAACGCAATCCATGCGTCCCCCGTACACTCTCCTATACCCCGTAACACACTCCATACGACCCCCATACACTCTCATATACCCCATAGCGTACTCCATGCATTCTCCATACACTCTCCCAAACACACTCCATGCATCCAGCGTACACTCTGCAAAACACACTCCAAGTGTCCACTGTACACATTCCTATAACCTGTAACGCACTCCATGCGCCCCCCCCCCCCCATACACTCTCCTATACCCCATAGCACACTCCATGCATCCCCATACACTCTCCAATACCCCATAACACACTCCAAGCGCCCCCCCCCCATATACTGTACTATACCCTGTAATGCACTCCATGCATCCCCCATACACTTTCTTATACCCCATAACACACTCCATGCATCCCCTATACATTCTACTCTCTTCCTTAATACACTCCATGCATCCCCATACACTCTCTTATACTCCACGCATTCCATACGTCCCCCTCACACTCTCCCGTACCCCATAACATACTCCATGCGTCCGCCACACACTCTCCATAACACAATGCATGCGTCCTTCATACACTCTCCTACACCCCATAACATACTCCATGTGTCCCCAAACACTCTCCTATTCCCCATTGTGAACTCCATGCTTCTTCCACAACACACTTCATCATGCGTCCCCCATACAGTCTCCATAACACTCTCCATGCATCCTCCATAAACTCTCCATAACACACTCCATGCGTCCCCCTTACACTCTCCAATACCCCATAACACACTCCATGCGTCCCCCTTACACTCTCCAATACCCCATAAGCACACTCCATGCATCCTCCATAGCACACTCCATGTGTCCCCCATACACTCTACTATACCCCACAGAGCAATCCATGTGTCCCCAAACACACTCCTATACCCCATATCACCCTCCATGCATCCCTATATACTCTGCTATACTTTAACACACTACTTGTGTCCCCTATACACTCTCCTATACCCCATGACACACTCCATGTGCCCCCATACACTCTCCATGACACACTCCATGCGCCCCCATACACTCTCCATAAACACACTCCACGCGTCCCCATACAATCTCCTTAACACACTCCATGAGTCTCCCATAAACACCCCATAACATACTCCATCCATCCCACATACACTCTCCATAAACACAATCTTTGTAACCCATAACCTCTTCTAAACTCGGAACGCACTGCATGCGTCCCCCATACACTCTCCTATAACCCATAGCACACTCCGTGCATCCCCCACACACTCTCCTATACCCCATAGCACACTCCATGCGCCCCCCAAACACTCTCCTATACCCTGTAATGCACTGAATGCGTCCCCCATACACTCTCCTATACCCCATAGCACACTCCATACATCCCCCACACACTTTCCTCTACCCCATAGCACACTCCATGTGCCCCCCATACACTCTCCTATACCCCGTAATGCACTGAATGCGTCCCCCATACACTCTCCTATACACTGTAATGCAATCCATGCATCCCATGAAGTAAAAAGATGGAAGTTTGGGGTGTAATTTCACATATACCTATGGCTTGTGCGAGAAATATCTAATTTAAATGACAACTTTGTGTAAAAAAAAAAAAATGTTTTTATCATTTTCCAGAAACTTGTGGAAAAAAATAAATCTTCCATGAACTCAATATGCCTCTCAGCAGATAGCATAGGGTAATAAATAAACAAAAGTGCAGCGCTAAATGTTAGTAGATAAATGAATAATAAAATGTCCCAAAAACATATTATAAACGCATGAATAAATAGTTCATAAAATATATAGGTAATCCACTTGATGTCACAGTATACCAAGGCAAGTAGTTACTGGGGCAAATGATAAAATTGCGCACTCACTGGACGCGCATAGGTAATGCGCATGTAATCAATATCCAACCAGGTCACTTAGGAAGGCGGAATAGGTGAGCATCCATCTAAAGTTGGAAAATCTTGTCTTGGTGGTAAGTGATTAAAACTGCCAGGTCCAGAGGTCCCCTTAAGGTTGGATGAGTCCTTGAGGATGGCGGAAGAGCTAATTAATTTCCAGGATATCCCATTACTATCCACTACCACCAGAGGGAGGGAGCCCTATATCCAGTCTGTGCACCCATCCAACCTTAAGGGGACCTCTGGACCTGGCAGTTTTAATCACTTACCACCAAGACAAGATTTTCCACCTTTAGATGGATGCTCACCTATTCAGCCTTCCTAAGTGACTTGGTTAGATATTGATTACATGCGCATTACCTATGCACGTCCGGTGAGAGCGCAATTGTATCATTTGCCCCAATAACTACTTGCCTTGGTATACTGCGACATCAAGTGGATTACCTATATATTTTATGAACTATTTATTCATGCGTTTATAATATGTTTTTGGGACATTTTATTATTCATTTATCTACTAACATTTAGCGCTGCACTTTTGTTTATTTATTATCTTATGAGGTTTGCTGTGATTACCTTGAGTGCATTGGCCGCTGATTTTAGAGAGCTCACTTTTCATCCATTTATTTTAGATAGCATAGGGTGTCTACTTTCCGAAAAGGGGTCATTTGGGGGTGTTTGTACTATCCTGATATTTTAGCACCTCAAGAAATGTGATAGGTAGTCAGAAAGTAAAAGCTGTGTAAATTCCATTATCTATACCATAGTTTGTAGATGCTATAACTTTCACACAAAGCAATAAATATACATTTATTGGGATTTTTTTAACCAAAAACATGTAGCAGAATACATTTTGGACTAAATTTATGACAAAATTTTAGATTTTTGGGATATTTTTTATGACAGAAATGAGAAAATATAGTTTTTTTCCCAAAAAATATTTTTTTTCAAAACATTTATTTGTTTATAGTGCCAAAAATAAAAAGCAGACAGGTGATCAAATACCACCAAAAGAAATCTCTATTTGTGTAAAAAAAAGGACATAAACTTTATTTATGTACCGTATTGCATGACCACGCAATTGTCAGTTAAACTAGTGCAGCGCTGCATAGCAAAAGAATGCGTAAATTGTATCTATACCATAGTTTGTAGACGCTATAACTTTCACACAAAGCAATCAATATACACTTATTGGGATTTTGTTACCAAAAACATGTAGCAGAATACATGTTGGCTTAAATTTATAACTAACTTTGACTTTACTATATATTTTTTATAGCCGAAAGTAAAAAATATAGTTTTTCTTAAAATTTTTTGGTCTTTTGTTGTTTATGCAACGAAAAATATAAAGCGCACAGGTGATCAAATACCACCGAAAGGAAGATCTATTTGTGCGAAAAAAATTACATAAATTTCGTTTCGGTACAGCATTGCATGACCGTGCAATTATTGATTGAATTAGTACAGCGCCGAGTAGCAAAACGAGGCCTGTTGATTAAGGGGGGTAAATTCTCCGGAGGGCAAGTGGTTTTATAAATAGTTTGAGTTTTTATTTTTTCTGATCAAAAAAAGACTGAAAGAAAAATGTAGAGAAGGAAGGGAATAATGTAAAATGAAACCAACAGTAAAAACTTCATTTCCTTGAAGTCACGTGCAGCAGAGTCTCAAACTTCCTTCTTTTTTCAGAGCACACATCTCTCTCCAGTGTGTGAAACTGCCGATACTGAGCTATGATTCGTCTCACAATGACCTGGGGGGTCCTGCTCCTGGCAGGTGAGTGCTCATTGATTGCAATTCCTCTACTACCTGCAGAAAGTTTGGACATGAACGTATACTACTTATTGACTAAAGTACAGTTGGATATTTTATATTCAGTGCATTGTGGTTTCTGCTGTTCCTGACTTTACTTAGAAAGTGGCTGCTGGACTGTGTACTCATTCATTACCAAAGGAATGTTAGGTTCTAACTAAATAAAAGCTTGAACTTAAAAACTATTTGAGTTTTTATGTGCTTATCAAACACTCAAAACTGTAGAGTAAATATGGAATGATGTAAAATGAAACAAACAATAAAATTTGCTTCCTTGTGGCAACAATAGTTTAACGCAAACTGTAATTTGCCCATTCAGGACAAAGTAACAATTCAATATAAAAGCAGAAAATGTAGGGAGTACATAATTTCTACTTGTTCCTTTGTATTCCCTATTCCCCCAGAGGAGGAAAAACCACGAGTTCCTGGTACAGAGGTGCAAGTGACTCTCTTATCTGCCTATCCACTGGCCCAATAACTGTCATGTGGTGAAAGCGGATCCTTATGCAGGCCATGCATGGGTCGAATTGCGAACAAATTTTCTTTAGAAAATCAAACGTTTTGTGTGTTCTTTAATCCAATGGTGCCACCATTGATTTCGAAATTCGACCAACCAAGCCTTTAATTTCACCTCATTTTGCTACAGAAAAGAATTTTCGTGGCCCAGAATTTTCTTTTCTTTCCAGGTCACAGCTCATGCCCATTTCTTTTTCAATTAGATTTCTCGCACGATTCTCCCATCATTGATTAGAAATTAGTTCGTTTTTCAAAAAATCTCCAACATGCCGATCACTCAAATTTGATCGGCGCTCGAAAATTGGCCATTTCTTTGGCCCATTAATGGTGTGAAATTCGAATGAAAATTCTTAGAATAGATTTTCAAAAGAAAATTCTTTTGGAATTCGACCCATGTATGGCCGGCTTAAGTCCTTTGAAAACTCTAATTTAGTGTTGGGTTGGAACTAAGGCTTACACAGAGCAAATATCAGCCGGTTCCTGATGAACCAGCCAAAATTTACTCTGTCATCCCCTTTCCACCTGACAAGCAGAAAATTGTCAGCCGAACAGCGGTTGCATTCTGTCAGATGCCGCCTCTTTTTAGGTATTTTACCAGCTGTCCTGACTGTCAAAATGCAATAGCCACAGCAAGACATTTGTTCATATGCACATTTTGTAGCTTGAAACTCGAAGACCTTCAACAAGCAAAATACTATTCATTTCAATGGCCCTGCTCGCATGCAGATGTGATGTGTACATGGGCCATTGAAATGAATGGGATTTTGCTTATTGAGTGTCTTCGAGCTGTGAGCTTCGAGCTACAAAAATGATCAGGTGTGAATGCAGCCTCAGATTTTTCTTTGCTCTGCCTGCAGGGGTGGTGGGGTTGCACATGGACGGTAACTAAGTGCTCCATAGCCTCTCTGCTTTAAAGGAACCCGCTGCAGCAATGTATGGGTTGGCTTTAAGCTGCTGATGTATTTTTCTCCAAATAAATTAGATAATGGAGTTGTATCTACTACAATTCATGTAGTCTGTAAATAGATCTTTACATTATACCTTCAAACAACAGCAGTTAAGACATCCTGGAAAGGGAAAAACACGCAATGAAAAACAGGTGTGGCTACATTGTGCTTAATATTGGGCGTGGCTTAAATTAATATAGTTATATATAGTCTGAGACACTTTGCAGTACACAATGTCCAAATATGCCGCAGCCCTTGTACCTAAAAAAATGTTAATGTACCACCAGCAAGAAGTTCACAGACACACATAAACCTAAAGTATCTACTTTAAAAAATAAAACAGAATATGGCCAGAGAGCTAAGATTTTATCTAAGCCTACACTTAAGAAAAATGTTATTAAAATAGCCAGAAACTATTCAGAAGCCATCAACTGTTCAGACAATAAACACTTTGGCCAGGAGTATGTAATGTACAACACTGTGTAATGTACAACACAATGTATAGAGCAAGCACTATGTAATGTACAACACAATGTAGAGAGCAAGCACTATGTAATGTACAACACGATGTATACAGCAAGCACTATGTAATGTACAACACAATGGGGAGAGCAAGCACTATGTAATGTACAACACAATGTATAGAGCAAGCACTATGTAATGTACAACACAATGTATAGAGCAAGCACTATGTAATGTACAACACAATGTAGAGAGCAAGCACTATGTAATGTACAACACGATGTATACAGCAAGCACTATGTAATGTACAACACAATGGGGAGAGCAAGCACTATGTAATGTACAACACAATGTATAGAGCAAGCACTATGTAATGTACAACACAATGTAGAGAGCAAGCACTATGTAATGTACAACACAATGTATAGAGCAAGCACTATGTAATGTACAACACAATGTAGAGAGCAAGCACAATGTAATGTACAACACAATGTAGAGAGCAAGCACTATGTAATGTACAACACAATGTAGAGAGCAAGCACTATGTAATGTACAACACAATGTATAGAGCAAGCGCTATGTAATGTACAACACAATGTAGAGAGCAAGCACTATGTAATGTACAACACAATGTATAGAGCAAGCACTATGTAATGTACAACACAATGTATAGAGCAAGCACTATGTAATGTACAACACAATGTAGAGAGCAAGCTCTATGTAATGTACAACACAATGTATAGAGCAAGCACTATGTAATGTACAACACAATGTAGAGAGCAAGCACTATGTAATGTACAACACGATGTATAGAGCAAGCACTATGTAATGTACAACACAATGTAGAGAGCAAGCACTATGTAATGTACTACATGATGTAGAGAGCAAGCACTTTGTAATGTACTACATGATTCAGAGAGCAAGCACTATGTAAAGTACAACACAATGTAGAGAGCAAGCACTATGTAATGTACAACACGATGTACATAGTGCAACAGTTAGCAGTGTGTGTCACAGTGCCCTTTTATTGCTGGCCAGCAAGAGGAAAAAATACCTGGCATCCATAGTCAGAGTAACAGACACTGCCCAGTATTGGTGATCAGGGGAAAGAAAACATGCCCAGCATTGATGTGGAGAAGGCAAAATGCATCAGTGGTCTGCAGGAGAAAATAATGACCAGCACTGGTAGTCAGTAGGAGGCAAAAATGCCAGATGTCAGTGATCAAGGGGGGGGAAAACATAATGCCTGGCACTGGTGGCCAGGGGGAGAGCAAAAAAAAAAAACCCAAACAAACATGGGATTTATGATCAGAGGGAGGAAAATGTGGTGGTCAGTAAGAGGAATAAATACCCTATGTTGGTGGTCAGTGGAAGGAAAAAGAATGTCTGGCATCAGTGGCCAGCAGAAGGAAAAATACCCCAGTGCAGGGTCATTGATGCTAAGTGGTGGTAAAGGTAGCCATTGGTGCTCACTGAGGGTAGAAGTGGACATTGATGTTCAGTGGTGGGTAAAAGGAGGGCATTGATTTTCAATAGTGCAGGAGGGGGCATTATGTTTAGTGTGTGTGTGTGTGGGGGGGGGGGGGGGCACTAGTGCTTTTTAGGGGAGTACAGAGACTTTGGTGTCAGTGAGGCACATGGGGGATTGTGTTAAAATCCTGGGACTGTTAGGCGGTATGGTTATATCTGTATAATATAAATTATTTATTATGATTATTATTTTTTTTATTCTGGAGTCTGAGGATTTCTTAATAAACACTGAAGCACGTGCTTCCTTCATGTTGCCATTCTATTTACAATGCTGTAATTACAAAGATTGGCTGCATCACATGTCTCTGAAATTGGCCATCAAACTAGATAATTTTTATTGCTCATATGATCGGTACAGTCGTATTCTGTGTGTCATTATCTTGTATACCATTATCTGTATGCAGCCTATTATATACTGTGAGGCATTGTCTCATCCACATGTGACAGGAGGAGAACTTGCTAGGCTGGATTTCCTCATATGAACACTTCCTCGTTTTGCTTTCTCTCTTCACATTTAATGGATGAAGAAGCAGGACTCAGCATGTCCTCTTTCACATTATGAGAAACAATTACATCCAAAAGTTTTACAGAAAAAAAATCAAGTCACTGGCAGCTCCCTCAAATTGGCTAAAAACTACTAAAAAGTAATAAATGACTTTATAAACTGGGGGTTAATGTGGAGAGTTTTCATGCACAATAGATCTAAGATATTTTTTTGTCACTGTATATTTGTCTGCACTTACAGACACTTGTTGCCACCACCTTTCAGGCACTGATGGTGGGATTTCTTTGGAGGAGAAAAAAAACAAAGCTTTAGCCTAGATATGACAGACAATAATTATTGGAACATAGTTCAAGCAGAAAAAAAATGCATACTTGTCTGTATTCAGACATGAAGACAGACGTTACCAAACCTTGTTTGTTAAACTTTTGTCCAGTTTTGGTACACAAAAAGAGTATAGAGCATCCTAGCAGAGAGAAAACTTGTTAATAAATAATCTTGTTGAGAAAACTTGTTAATAAAAAATAAATAAAACTCTCTTAATAAATAATCAAGGTGCTGCAGATTGAACTTTCTTTCTTTATAAACTGGAGATTGGGTGATCTCTAAATCCATCTGAACTAAATGTACAGGTTTATTAACCACTTGCCTACTGGCCACTTCTACCCCCTTCCTGCCCAGGCCAATTTTCAGCTTTCATGCTGTCTGGACCTGAACCAGAAACTTGCCCAGGGGAAGGGTCCTCTATTCCCCTTTACACGTTGGCGTCAGCTATAGCCCAGTCGGCACACACACAAACTACCCTACAGCAAACTTTCTGCAAGGTTCAGAAGCCAGTAAATCAAGTGTTAGAAGCTCATGCTATTATGCAAATTCCCTCGCAACTAAAAAGGTATGCTGTCTCTCCCACAGCTAAAAGATATCACTATGGAGAAGCAGGACATTTCATAGCGCAATGCTCAAATGGAGAGAACTTAGGAGATCTCACAGAGGTTGTAAAAGCATTA